GTTATTGGTTGAGGACGGTGGTGGCTCACCCATGGGTAGAGAGAATTAAGTTTAAAGGCTATATATGTATGAAAATCTAAACGGCTTTCTACCTAATCAAGAAGAGTATTATATTCAATATGTTATTCTCATTGAAACCATACATGTATACATGGTTCATTTTTATAATGAAATATATATTTGAATTTTAACTCTATATGACTATATGGTTTTATTGTTCTTTCGTCTTTCTCTTAATTTTATAATACATTATTAGCACGAAATCTTCTAACCGAGTTAGTAAAAGTATTTCTTATTTTATATTCAAAGGAAAAAACAAAGTCCTAGCAAATTGAGTTAGTAAAAGTGATTTTTATTTTATTTTAATTAAAAAAAAGAAGAATTTTGTGTTAATGATCCGAAAGAAAGCATTATGTCCCTATTTATATTTAATAATATTACTATATTATTATTCCAGAAGAAACAAAACTTTATATGAATAATACTGAAGAAAATTATATTGATGTTCCTAAAAAACAAAACTCAACTACATGAATATTCGAAAAAGAAATTAAAATTTTTGAAAGCATCAATATTCGGGAAGAATATTGTATTAGTCTGGAAGATTACATTATACAAGTCTAACTTTGATAAATGTCTTAATGCTCCTCAAAAAGTATAATAACATATACAAATATTTTATTATTCTCGCAGAATATTGATTATTTTCATATCGACATTTCAGAATATGTGTGTGTGTGTATTTCTTATACTCTTAAAGAAGTATAATTTTATATAAATTATTATTCTAATATTTTTAAAAAATTTGACTGCTTTTCAAGAAACACAATATATGTAACTAACTATTCTACAAGGATCTTATGTATCAAATTACGTTATCACCGTTTAATTCTTTGTCAATTTATTATTTATATGCAAATCTCAAAAGTAAATATCTATTCTTAATTGTAATTTCCCTGAATAAACACTTTATTATTTTTTTTTTACAATGTACTAATAATTCAAAAGAATAATACGTTATAATTTTTATCATAAAAATACGACTTTATATAAGGATTTAATGGACTTACCGAGTGTTAATTTGTAATTACAATTTGAGAAATTCAAGTTGATCTTCTCACTTATGATGGTATTTGACCCTACCTTGAAGATGAACTTACAGTTCCAGACCCATTTGAATCTCTTATGAGAACATAGTTAATTTGAGTTTCTTATCTCTGTATCCTCATAAATTCAAAAGAGGACTTTCATAGTTGTTCGAGGACTTTCGAGTACACTATAGTTTTGTAATATGGTCTATCAATTTATTGTCAATCAACAAGCTTTTTTTTTTTTTTTTTTTTTTTTTTTTTTTACTATGTCTTGTTCTACCCTTATAATATTTGTACAATTAAAATAAATACCAAAAATTTAAGAATAATGTTATTTCACATCACTAATGCTACAACACCATTCTATGTGGTGCGATGTTATAAGCTCAATGAAATGTGAAATTAATTGACTTATTTAATTTTACTTCTCATTGAATGCCACATTAGTGACACATAGATTGATGTTTTTAACACCAGTGGTGCTGAATAGTATTACTCAAAATTTAATGTCTTGAATATTTTTATATATGTGGCATGATCGGTTAAGCTATCCCGAACAATATGATGCAAATAATTTATTAAAATATATATTAAAACTTAGAACATTTTTTCTATAATGTATTTTTACGTGTTGTTGTTTAGATGGTATATAAATTAGTAGACATTCACCAACTAAAATTGAGATTGAAATTCTTATATTTCTTGAAATTATTTAGGGTCATGTCACCCTCCATGTTGCCTATTTAGATATTATATGTATCTATCAAATACATCTATATATAACTTGAAGTTTGCAAGATTGTTACTCAATTTTAAATTTGGAGTATAATTTTCAAATTATACCATCAAGACAGTGTGCTTTATCGATTTTAATGAGTCTATATTCCAAACTTTCAATATATATTAATTGGAATGGCGATAAATAGTTTAGCACTATTATTTTTAAAATGCTTTCAATTAATTTCTAAATCATCTCTATTTAGAACAAAGTGTTTCCCATTTCTAGGGTATGCTATTTACAGCTTGTTCGGTAATAATTTTTGAGAATTGATTTTTTGAGCGTTAGTGGGGGAATGTGGGTTCTACTTGTAAGAGACGTAAAGTAAAAAATGACGGCTGTAATAATAAAATAACAGTCAAAATTTTGATTTTTTAGGGGAAAATCAATACCAAGCATGCACTTAATATTAAACAACACATATATATCATGTAAATATCAAAATTCTCCAATCAAAATTAGCTTATAGTTAGAGATTTTATAATGCAATACATGTACAATAGCTTTATTACAATGCATTAGATGATCATTACATGTTTAGTTTAATCTCTTATTAAATATCTTAAACTATAATAGACGATATTTTATATACGATTTGTCAAATGGCATTTTACTATAGTGAGTATAAAGACATAACAAATTATCTCATTTGATTTTGAGATGAAAGCAGTTGATGATTGTGTATGCCACAGTTTAGTGAGAGCAAATATTTTTTTCTAATATTGTGTGTCGAAAACATACTACTTGCTTGCAATAATATAGGTTTATAATTTTGATAATGCCTAGATTCTACCACAAGTGCATGGGTCGTTAAAAGCAGAACAAGGCAAAAAGAGTATCGTTCCACAAGGAGGCAATTCGAGTACCAATTTAAAGTTAATTGTTTCAATGGTCACTTCACCTAGGTCCATGTCTTTGATTGGTCACTGAAATTTAAAATGTCGAGTTTTGGTCACTGAACTCAAATACATGTCTTCGATTACTCATTGAACTTAGGTCTATGTCTTATATTGCTCACTAAAGTTTAAAATGTAGAGTTCTGACCACTGAAGTTTGGAATATGCCATACGTTATAACTGTTGAACTTTGAAACATATCGAGTTTACAGTGAATAATGTACAATATTTTTCAAAGTTCAGTGAATAATGTACAACATTTTTCAAAATTCAGTAAGGAATGTACAACATATTTCAAAGTTCAGTGGTCAAAACTCGATATTTTAAACTTCAGTGAGTAATAGAAGACATGAACCTAAGTTCAGTAACCAAAACTCAACATTTTAAACTCCAATGACCAATCAAAGACATTGACCTAAGTTCAGTGATCATTTGAACAATTAACTCACAAATTTATAAAATTTCCTATATTATTTAGATAATCCCAAGGTAATGTAACTTATTCAGATTCTTAATCTCTAAAAAGAAATCAAATTAGGAACATTTCTAGGGTTTGGATTTCATCTATTGAATTTTTTCCGATGAGTTTAAACTTGGTTGTTCTCATAAATGTTTTGTTAATTACAAGGACCGAATTCCCTTTTATACGTGATATCCTGTTTCAGTATAAAACATATATTTATATCAGTCTTATATCTACTGTCGTGATCATAAAAATCAATATAAATTCATTATCCTCTTTGGAATTCAAGGTGGGTCACAAGGGTGTGTATTTATTTCTAAAGTGTAATTGGCACTAAACGTCCCTACCTTTCAAATTCATTGTAGAAAACGTCTCCACTTTTCATTTTTGACATTTTTGCCCTGATTTCAATCTTTCTTTGCGCTGAACATCCTTTTCAGCTATTTTTAACTTAAAATGACCAAAATACCCTCATATTTATACAAAACAAAAAAAGAAAAGAAAATTGCACCTATAGGCCCAAATTTTTAAAAACTGCAAATGCTCCACTTGAACCTCCACTGCCAGTACCACTATAAACAGACGAGCCAATTTTCTCTGATGTTTTAACATTGTTCAATATCAAATCACTTAGCTAGGTTCCCACTCCTCCTGCCCCTCTTGCCACCAGAAGTGTTAGAAATGTGGAAACTTGCCGACGACCACCCCTTCCTCCTCCTCCACTTCAACCAACTACAAAGCTCAGCCTCAGCCAGCATCCAGAGCAATAGACCATTTTACTACGATTTTCCTTTAATCAAATAGTAATTACCTTAATTATTCAATACTCTATACATCAGCAGGTTCCATGAATGAATTAATTAAGGATTAGTAGAAGAAGAAGTTCAATTCTCGTTCTTTATGTATGTATGATGTAGCATGTTAGGAAGAAAAAAAGATACCAATTACTTCATTTTCTTTCCTTTCTTCTTTTTCTCCATAAACCCTAATTCAATTAATCTCTTTTCATCAATTTCTATTTAAGGAGTTCCATTAGATCACTTTAATTTTTCCAAGAAATAAAGTAAATAATTGCTTAACGGGGTTGCTCATTGTGGACTTTTTCCTTTATTGTTGAGTGACGTCAGTAATGTAGAAGCTTGTAGGGGTCCAAATTTGCATGTAGGACGGAGCATATTGAAATCTCAGTCCAAATTTTCTCTGATGTTTTAACATTGATTCTTCTGGGGTTGGGTTTAGGTGTTTATAGTGGTGCTGGTAATGGGGGGTCAAATGGGACGATGTTGCAGGGATTGGGTTTGGGTGCTTATAGTGATGTAGGTGCTGGTAGTGGGGTGGAGTGGAGTGGTGGTTGTTGAGGTTGAGGCTGGTGATGGAGTGGGGGAGCTATTGTGGAAGAAGGTGACAGTCTTTTTTTTTTTTTGAAATTTGGATTCAGATGCAATTTTTAAAAATTTGGGTCTATAGGTGCAATTTTTTTTCTTTTCTTTTTTGTTTTGTATAATAGGAGGGTATTTTGGTCATTTTAAGTTAAAAATATGTGAAAAGGATGTCCAGCACAAAGGTTGAAATGTGGGCAAAATGTCAAAAAATGAAATGTGGGGACGTTTTTCACTGTGAACTTGAAAGATAGGGATACTTTGTGCTAATTACCCTATTTCTAAACCCCATTGCTAATGTTTGACAATTTCCCAAACCAATGTTCAATTTCAACTTTCGCTACTTGATTCAACATCTTAAACATGCAATTCAGGGCCAATAAATTGCAAGAATGAACACCAAAATCATCAAATTGCAATTAACAAGAATAGTCAATACAACCATGATCAAATCATATAAAGAATTCAATGACTGCATCTTAACCCTAGAATATGGAACTTAGCAAATTATGACTAATAAAATTATCCAATTATTCCAAATCAACATTCTACAATTAAAGAAATTGAGAGAGAAAAAGAACTCTAGAAGTTGGAGTTCTTCCTTCAATATCCTTCGTCAATTCCTTTTCTCCCCTTAATCAAATCTCCTTCCCTTAAAAAAATAATAATAATAATAATGGATTTCCATAATATATGTTGGTGAAAATCAAAACTCCCCGCAGATTTCTCTTCCCAAAACAAAATTACCTCTTTCCAGCTCTTAAATTGCGGGATTCTTGGCGGATTTTATTACCTAGCTTCCAACTAGATTTTGATGACACAACCTCACAAAAGTTTTAGATCTCGTCCTCAGCTTTCCAACGCACCTGGGCTTGCTTTATTTCGACTTTTAGAACTCCAGATACAGGCCAAAAACAGAAGCTGAGTCAGGCAGTAGTGAATTCTGGACAGATTTGGAGTTCTCTGCTTTTGATAGGATTTGATCTTTTAAACGGCAGAACTGGGTTTTGATATCTTCATAAAAGTTTTAGGTAGCCTTAACTTTCTAACAAGCCAACAACACCTAAAATGGAGATATGTAGCTCCAATTAGAAACTAAAAACCAAATAGTGTTCTGATTTGACGGGCAGCCCAATTAAAATTCTCTCTAGGCCCAGCCTAAATCCTTCTTGTTCAAATAAGTCCAATTTTGATAATTGAACACCTGCAAAACACCAAGAATTCCCAGGTAAATAATTATAAAAGACACCTAAAACTCTAGAAAAGTGAGCTAAAAAAAGCATATAAAGCACTTAAATCTAAGCAATTAGGTCAAGAAGATGTGTGAAATGAATTCCTACATCAAGTTCTTGAGAGATATGGGATACAGGATTGTAAATTAGGTGATGCCTCTATTGCTATGAAAGACAAGTTTAGTCTCAATCAATAAATTAAGAATAAACTTGAAGAAAAATAAGTGCAGAAAATTTCCTATGCTTTAGGAGTTAGGAGTTTAATGTGTGTTCAGAATTAAAGAGTTTGGACATAGCATTTATTGTTAAAATGCTAAGCAAATATTTAAGTAACTTAGGACAGATATTTGAAAAAGAGCCAAGTGAGTTATTCAGTATCCACGGAGAACAAAGGAGACAAGAAATCAAACCAATTAGAGATCCTTGGATATATTGATTTTGATCATGAAATATGACTGGAAAATTTTGTTAATGAGCTGCGCATTCTAGATAGAATTGAAAGACCACTCGAGTTATTTTATGACAATAAGTCAACAATCTTTTATTCCAACAGGAGCTCGACGATGTCAAAGCTTATAGACATCAAGCTCCTTGTTGCTAATGAGAAAGTTCAGAGTAGTTAGGTTTCTATATAACATATTGGGACAAACTTCATGATAGCAAATTCATTTATCAAAAGACTTCCACTTAAAGTTTTTCATGAGCACATTACTCTCATGGACGTTGTATGTTTTGATCATTTATTAGTTTAATAGGAGTTTCGTATTTTGGATGTTGTAGACACATAATTTTGTTTGTGCACATTCAGGTCATTTTCGGAAAATAAAATACACTTTATTCTCCTTGATTAAATTTTTTTGTTTGATCTCATTAAAGAATAAGATAGGACCAGTTGAAAATGGGCATGTTTGGATTACATTACATTTAATTTCCATGTTACATATCCATATTTGATATATGTCATTTGATTATATTGATATGTGTGACCTATTCATGGTGTAGTTATGATATTGGTAACGAGGAGCATTTTAATCCTATATTGACAAAATCAATGAACGAGATTATTCAGAAATGCTTTTGGTTAAGATAGCAAATTTTGACTTCGTAAGATTATGCACATTTAGAAGGAAGCAAATGGGGCTCCAATGGAGAATTCTTGGAATTTAATTTATCATGTAGCCCTACATATGTAATTGTTTATGAAAGATTATCTTAAAGTTAAGCCATTTAAAATGTTTTAATAAATATTTAAATTTATTGGGCTTTGGACATCAAATTAAAGTATGGACCTAAATATGTGTAGAGACAAAATTTTTAGGATTGTTTTTTATGATGAGCCGAAGTACTGTATTATATATATTATAGTCACCAATTCATGTGTGACTCTCATTCTATATGTTATCCCATGAACAAAAGATTAACGAGAGAAAACATATTGAAGTGAAATATCCAAAATCCACAATCAAGAATAAAAAACAAGCCATCAAGATCGAGAAGTCGCAATCAAGAACGNGTTTTTTTTTTTTTTTTTTTTTTTTTTTTTCATAGATTCAAAATTTTGTGTTAGAAAGTTTAGGTACCTCGATTTTTGGATGTATTTCTTGGAGCATGTTCGAAGAAGTGGAGAGGAGAAAATATAATTCCTCATCAATTGGATTCAATGATATTCACGAGTATGAATGTTACTTGAAATCCTAATGTTTTTGGTTATTTTCAAATTAAAAAAACTTCGTAGAATTTTGAAGTCCCACACTTGATTTTGAGGTATGGACGTTCTTAAATTGAACCTGATAGTATTTTAATGAAAAAGCACTATAAACTCTTCTATTTGGACTGTTTTATACCGCCGTACTGCATTAGATGCCATTAGAGCATATATAGCATCTACGCGTAAACAATACAATGAACAAAATTCTAAGAACAAGACACAATTTAGTGCGCAAAATTTGAGCATATTAGCAAGTCGAGAGAACATCAAGTTTGATGAAAAGAACTAAATAAATAAACTAAGCAATTTACAAAGTACGACAATGAAAATCTTAAAAAGGGATGGATTACAAGCAATGAAGCAAGACGAAATAATATTACAATTGTAATAATTTAAAAGTTGAAATCTTTACAAGTGTCACAATTCCAATAGACGCCGGCTTCAAAATTCACTATTTGAAGAATGAAACCTGGTGTCAGCAAGGGTTCCTAAAATCTCTTGCATGATTTTGAATGTGCGGCAAATGAAGTCACGAGCTTTGACAATTCCATTCACAACCGCTGGGTGAAAAAGAGCTAACAAAAGATATTCATTGAAAATTGTGAATAAAGATAATTACTACCTCATTCAGCAAGGCTTTCTTTTGTCCACCTTTAAGTGAAGATTGTACCATTTTTTCTTCCTTGAACGTTCCCTAGAAGGTTTTCTTTTACTTGCTTCTCCCTCGTCACTTTCCTTGAATGCACCCTTGTTCTTGCTCCGACTACTAATGCTACGCTTTATTTGTGGAATGATTGTGTAGGCAGCGTGTATTTCATTTCTCTGTTTAAGAAGCTCGTCAATCTGCAATTTCAACAAGAACCGCAGGTTTCAGATTGCCCAAGAATGAAAACCCACAAATTCAAAGTATTCGATAACTTTGGGTACAGATCAACTTACAGCTAGCATTTCTTGCGTGTATCTACTTGTCATTTCAGTAAATTGAGCTAGAACCTGTTATCACGTCGCTCGAAAATAAGTAAAATACAAACTCCAGTGTACAATATAATTTATGGACAAGAACAGACCTCCTTATATTCGGTTTCAAACTTAGAGAGTTCCGCTCTTTTCGACAAAATTTGGCTTTCCACGGTTCTAAGGTTCTCTTTTTCTTCCATGAAAGGTGCAGCACAAAGAGCTTCTATGGTGTAGTTTGCGCTTTTGAAAAAATTATCACCTACACAAACAGGAGCATATAGATTTATCTTTATGCAAGGTTAAACAGTCAGTATACGCAGACAACTTACAAGGAAAAGGAGGTACCATAAACAGCAAAATAATGGGTGCCGGACTTTAGTTCATTTATTTCACATGGCTGAAATCCATCCAGTTTCTTGAAGAAAGCTGCATCAGGATCCTTCGCTGCTGCAATCTGAATCAGGCTCAAGAAAAAATGGAATGCTGAATGACATGAATGGATGACTACAGATTTAAGAGGGGGATATGGTCGAACAAATTATTTACTCACTGAATTCTGTGTTTGGTCCATCCGGTACACAGGGAATCCAAGAAAATACATCCCAGCCGATGTAACCTTTCCTGTTTTTGCACTATCCTCCTACACAAGAAAAGGAAATATATTATATAAAGGAGCTATTCTTGTGGAACAACGTCCATTAAATATCCATCTTTATAGTGCATGTTCAATTGAGTTGATAATGTTTCCAAAGAACATGAAAGAAGCAAAAGATAAGTGTTTCAACCTGCAGAACGAGGCTTAATCCACCATTTTCTTCTTGATCAAAATACAATAGCTGCAAAAAAATAAGGGACAGTTAAACTAATAAGATACCTTTTCTATGAAATAAAACTAGTAGATCATCAAGATTGAAGAAAAAGAATATTATATTTCACCGATAAGAGAACATGAGGAAAATAGTGATCTTGGAATTCTTATGGTGTTAGCCTCTGTTTGACCCTCTTTTTTCAAAAATTCATTTTTTCAAAACTCATTTTCAACCACACATTCTCTCATAAAATAATTTTACATGCAAATCTAAAACTTTTTCTTAGTTTTTAACCACACATTCTCTAACAAAATACTATTCCAAAATGCATCTAGGCCCAAATATGGGGCTCAAACAGGCACTCAGCATTTGATTCACAGAAAGATCCTCGAACAACTACATTCTGTACAGACACATATCTACAAGAGCCAACCAAACATGTTTGCTTTGAATATCAAAAAAAATTTATCACTTGAACAAGAGACACAAATTGATACATTTCCAACTCCAAAGTCCACGACATCAAATAAGAAACAGCATCCAGGTAAAGTCTCTTCTCTTAGGTGTGAAAGATTAGATTAATCATGACATAAGCATAATCAAAACTATCCTAAAATAAAAGATTTATCCAAAAGCTATATTGGCATCAGCTTTAGTTATATATAATGAATATATGAAATAAAGGAAAACCTATTTTGATACAATAAAAAGAAAAAAATTATTGATACTTAAGGAAAAATATGCTCTTAGTAGCATACTCAATTAAGTAAAATACAAAACCATCGACTAGAGAAACAGGTCTAAAGCAACAATGACTAGTTGCTCATTGAAAAATAAAATAAACTGGGAGACAAATCATAGCACAGATATTCACTGGATCACCCCAATGTGCTTCGTTAAAACTGCTTGCTTTTCCTTTATAACAGGTCAGAGTTCTTCACATTCTGGATCACCCCAATGTGCTGAAGTTCTACTCGTGGTATATACAACTTCTATCATGACCTAGGCCAAATAAAAAATGTGCTTCCGTTATGATTGCTACATTCTATATAGTCTTCGATGGCACCACTCAGCATTAGATTGGATGTTCTCGCCACTCTTTTTCCTTTCTCTAATTGACATTTTCAGGTATGAAATATCAGCTCACCTATGGTTGGTTTTGGAATATTGTGTTGGAGGCTTTAGTTATATATAATGAATTTATGAAATAAAGGAAAACACATTTTGATACACAAGAAAAATTTATTGATACTCAAGAAACAATATGCTCTCAGTAGCATACTCAATTAAGTAAAATACAAAGCCATGGACTAGAGACACGGGCCTAAAGCAACAATGAATAGTCGGGCATGAGGAAGCAACAAAACTGGGAGACAAACCCGCCATTCAAAATCAAAGGCTACGAGCATGCATCATTTCTTCAGACAACTAGCAAAATATCAGGTATAAACACTGTCTCACATTATATTTCCCTTCCGTAAATGGAACTTTTAGTTCTGAACTAGTGGGGATACAGTTTTTTCATTTCGTTGATTACTTCAAGGAGCTTTAAGTGTGTCTGAGTTATATATCAAAGAACTGAGTTGACAAATTAGTACATTCCCATTTCCGCTAGCTCCATTCAAAACTAAAGATAAGAATATAATATGCAAACAAAACGTAAGAAAAATTATGTTAGTGTTGAATCCTAAAATTACAGAAATTGTAGTGATATAGTGAGAAAATCATAGCTTACCAAACCCCTAGAAAATTCAGTCAAACCTCACCCACTACAGAGATAGATAAAACAAAGCTTTGTAAACATGTTTCAAGTGTTGCAAACCACCAAAGTAAAATGAAAGTGAATAGAACATGAATGTAGAGAATAGATCAAATAGTGGTCTCATTACTCTCACTGTTTAGAAGATATAACCTTATTCAAGGTTTTCTCAGCCTGATACCAAACCCCTAGAAAATTCAGTCAAACCTCACCCACTACAGAGATAGATAAAACAAAGCTTTGTAAACATGTTTCAAGTGTTGCAAACCACCAAAGTAAAATGAAAGTGAATAGAACATAAATGTAGAGAATAGATCAAATAGTGGTCTCATTACTCTCACTGTTTAGAAGATATAACCTTATTCAAGGTTTTCTCAGCCTGATGGCATAAAGGACACAATTCAAAATAGCAGTCTATTGTTGAGTTATTATCTACTTCCTACGAAGTAGATTTATGATGCAAGATTGTTATAATTAATACTCCAACTTTGACACCCTAAACAAAGAGCTATCCGGGACTAGGAACAACTCAGATCTCTCTCTCTACCCCCCTCCCCCCCTTCCTCTACTCCAAGTAGAGAAAGCATGAGTCAATTGCATATCTTATGCTCTAATACATAGCGCTGACTATTTACAAACCTTAAACTTGCTCTTCTCTGGTGAACAAACTCGGCAAACAAATCCCCCCTTCGCTTCCTCTTCTGTTATGGTAACAGAATAAAAATGAGCACATTGCTTTTCAACCTGTTGAAAGAAGAAAATGAATTTCTCTGAACAAATCATAATAACACATTTGAATAATTTATACTGAAGCATAGAACAACACCTACCTTCCTACACAGAGGTTGCCCAAGTGGAAGTGGACGAATGGTTACCACGCCATTCAATGCTTCCTCCAACACAGTGGCTGATACCGTAGTTTTGATGGGAACGCCAAGTTTACTACTTGCAAAATGTAATAGTACAATTAGTGTATGAAATAGAAACCAAATAGTTTTATGAGAACACAGCAATGGAAGTAAGCAGAAAAAGAAAAAAAAGAAGATACAGATAACAGAAATTATAACTGACCTAAAAAGTGCAGCAAACATAGTATTGACAGCTCCAAGGCTTGAAAGATCCAGTTCTAGTTCCTGGCTTTCAGATTCCACAGCCTGTCCCAAGAATTTTTTTTTTTTTAATCAATTTTTAAACTAAATAATTCAAAATTGGCTAAATTAACTGAAGTAAATAGTGGTTTGAAACACAAGGCAGAGCACAGAAATATTCACCGCAAAACCAGCTGTGTCATACTGACGCCTTTTATCTGGATCAGACAAAATATTATAAGAGAAAGTGGCCTCCTTGAATATATCTGCAGCTTTAGGATCATTTGCATTCTTGTCTGGATGGTACCTACAGTTTTGTTACATAAGTAACTACCAATTTCGTCTGACTAGCAAAACAGAACTTTTGACACATAAGGGCACAAACACTCACAAGCGTGCACACACACAAAGCAGAGAAAGAAAGAGAGATCAACCATTTCACAAGATACTGTTCAGATCACCAATGAAGCATCTACTAATAGGGGTGATGATATAGATTATTTTTTCTCTCATCGGCAATAGATATACTGTAAAGAGGTCATATAATTGTATATAAAGGTAAAAACTGAGAGCTTGAACAGTGTAACAGACCAACAGCAGACACAGGACAAGGAAAAGAGAACAGAAGCAAGACGAAGAAATAGACCGTCATCTTGCAACTTCTCTCGAATGAGATTTTTCCTATCATGTATTTATTCACAATTTTCACTTTGTCCAAACAATGAACTTAAAATGGCACTTCTGGCGAACTGAAGTTACTTATAGAACTATACTTCCTACAGCTGATATGTGTCCACTTTTCAATATTCAAATAGTCTTTTTCCTTTTTTCCAAATCACAGACTGAAACAGCGCAACCGCGGAAGTACAACACTAACGTGCTACCTTTCGCACCTATCTTGAATGTTTAAGCACAAATGATTTCTGCAAGAACATTGAAAGAACAGGCTTGTTTTGCAGGAACCCCCCCCCCCCCCAC